GGTTGAACCGAAAATCCCCTGTATCCTATCCAATTTTATTCGAAATGGGAAAGTTGTACAATTGTTTTTTCCAGGGTTATTGACTGGTGCTGGCCGAGGAGACAATACGACGACTCACTCGCATTCCTCTGATAACTCTTTCTTTTATCATTTTAATCAACCACTGGGGAGATGAGCAAGGAAAACGAGTGAGTTTTGAAAGAAATTTGGGCGTTGACCTGTTTTTTTTGTTTGGGGGAAGAAATTATGTTTTATGTGGGGGCGGGGTGTGACCGATTAATTATTCTGAAAAGTTTATCAATTTTTTTTGTTTTGTGTCAGAAGAGGAACACTTTTCGAAACGAATTTCGAGCTTTTACAGCTATCAGGAATTCTTTTAATTAAAACATTTTTATGACACTTAAATTTACTTTATGACATTTTCTGCCGTTCAGTCCCAAAAGAGTTCTGAAAGCATTCTAGAATTTTTAAAGAATATTTCTCGTTTTTTTTCTTTTTTTCCAGAGTTTTAATATTAAACTCTCAATTGTTCAGTTCAATTGATATAATATTTTGCGAAAAAAACTCGAAAAGTGAAGCGAAAAAAGTGTTTTCTTTTCAGACTGATCTATGTCGCGTTTTATTGACATTCGAATTCATTTTTCGACTGAAAAGGCTTTCAACTGAAAACGACCAAAGTTTGGAACACTTTGAAATTTCTGAAACTGTTCTTTTTTTTTGAAACAGCAAAGTTTTCCATGTTCATCATACTCTATCATCTGGGATGTTTTGAATTACCGTAAACACTCTAATAGAAGGGCATCTTATACTTGCAATTTGAGCGCAATTATCTCGATTCCTAAAAGAGGTATCAAAAATGTGTCAACTGATAAACTTTTGATGATATTACGAAAAACATTTTAGCTGTTGGCAGATTTCTGTTAGCTTCTATAGAAATTGAGATAATTGAGATCGATGTTCAAGGTAAAGGTTGGCGTTCCATAGAAGGTTGGCGTTCAAGGTAAAGGTTGGCGTTGTAAGTTTTCACAGTATTTTTAATTTTGAGATCAACCTTTAATTATTCTGTCGTTGGTTTTTTCCAGACCACTCTTTCAAGACGTTAACTGATTTTTTATGAAGAGGCAGTAATCTAAACAATGATACAAAATCTGAAACTGGTAATTCTGAAAACAATACAATTTTCTTTTTTTTGTTTGTTCGGGAAACAAGTGCATTCACTCTCTAGACAAAAGAAACAATTGAATATATATCCTGTTCTTTATCACTCGAACGGTTTTTATCTAACGAGATTTACACACACCCTATCGAAAAAACTGGCAATGATACTTCCTCTCTCTCTCTTCATTGATTCTACTTCCCCACCATTCAATGTTACATTTTGTTTCCAGAGATATCGGAAAATCGGACAAACGTCCACCCTCTTCTATGTCCACTGGATCAGCAGACAGTGGAGTCTTCTCATCTGGAATCCATGCATCATCCCCAGGTCACAGTCAAAGGAGTGAGGAATCTGGATCCCAGCAAAGTGGACCACCCAGTCCGACGACACATTTGAATACGTTACTTTTTGAAACTGCAAACTTGATCGCAGTAAATGAACAATTGAGAAAAGAAATCGCAGAGTAGGAACTGACGATTTTTAGGCAAAATGCGAATTTTGGATTTTCAGAAACAAACAAATCCAAAACATTCAGATGAGGGCACTTAACAGAATGACAGTCACAAATCCTGCTGATAGTTTTGGAGGAGCTACTGTTCCCAATGGATTTCCACAGTGCGTTTTTTTCTTGTGACTTTAGATTTTCAAATTTGAGAATCATGAGAATCCCAGTATCTCGGAATCTGGGAATTTTAGTGTATGAAAATTCAGAATATCGTAATTTTATTCATGCTTTAACGTTCCTTACTGCTCTCTCTCTCTCTCCCCTGTCAATAACATAACACAGTTGTCAACTGAGAAATTGTTCATCACAAAATCACGAACATTTTATCAGTTTTTTAAAATCTTGCATAGGAGCCAAGAAAAATGAGCTCAAGCTTGACAGTGCGGGAGCCCTTCTATTACAGGTGTTACAGGCGCTGGGCTGGTTTTTCTAGAACGAAAGCCACGAGTCACTATGTCAATATCTTATCATGATGAACCAATTTTTTATGCGTCGCAATTCAAATACTGATCCACCCCTCTCCCTGTGCATCTGGAATCACAATCATTTATATTCAGACGTGCACCACGCGGCGAGAGAAGAATGCAGAAGCCAGAATCCTACAAAACAGTCATCTGTCAAGCTTGGCTCGAGTCCAAAACATGCAACTTTGCCGAGAATTGCCGATTTGCTCATGGAGAAGATGAGCTCCGTCCGTCGAAGTGAGTTTCAAAGAAGATTACTGTAGTTCATAGGTGTCCACTATTTGCACGCATTTTGTCAGTTCACATTTTTGCCAACACTCTTATTATGACCGAATATTTAGTTTAAGCCATTGTGAGGAATCCCAACTTAGCGGCCTAGAAACTGATTGTCCTACTGTAACTTTGTTCACGTTTGTCCTTAATCAACAATAACCAATAATTTGAAATTTTCTCAACAAGAGCATTCGAATGAGTATAATCTTGCCTATGTTTCTGAGAATTTTGTTTTTTTTTTGGTTTATGGATCTCACCATGATTTCTGGATCCAATCAAAAAATTCTCAGAAGGTGGACCGTTGCTTTGTAGCTCTAGGTCAAATTTTAATGCTTTACGGGTATATAAGAATTGGAAACATTAAAACAAGAGATTTTTAAATAGGTTCCAAATTGAAAAATTCCAGAATCGAACCACGACAAAACAACAAATACAAGACAAAACTTTGCGATAAATACACGACGACCGGACTTTGTCCCTATGGAAAACGGTGTCTTTTCATTCATCCGGATCACGGACCAAACGCTTACATTCGAGCTGATAGACTCTATGAGGTAAAACTTTTTAAAAAAACTGAGTTCACAACAAATATAATTTCCAGGTCTCACAACGACACGCTCTTGCCGATCTCCGTGATCATATGGAGACTCAAATCATGTCGGGTGCTGCTGGAAAGAATCCATTTGTGCAGCTTCCTTTATCGATGGTTCCGGAAATTCAACAATTGGTGACAGCTGGAAGACTCTCACCTGTTCCTGATGCTAGAAATCTATCGATTGGGAATCAACGGAATTCAATGAGATCTCCAACAGGGAAGATGAGTTGTGAAGGTATGGAAACAAAGACTACAGTAATCCTCAAGTTGAAAAAAACTACAGTTATCCTCAAATTTAAAAACTACAGTAATCCTCAAATTGAAAAAAAAACTTGGAGCAAAATTATTATTCTGGTACAAAAAATCGGAGCTGTGGAAGAGAAACGTCGGTGACCGTGGCCGAAAGTCTCACAACGACAACTACCGTAACCTACAAAAAGTTTTATTTTCTGAGTTTTTTATCTCGTTTTTTACTAATTAAAAAAAACTCAGAAAACGAAAAATTTTCTAGATTGCCGTAATTGTCGTTGTGGGATTTTCGGCCACGGCCATCAGCGTTTCATTTCCACAGTTCCGGTTTTTTGTAACAGAATAATAGAAAATTAGATTGTTATGCACCTCATAAATTGATTGTAAACTTAAAAATTGTTTTCAGCCGCTCGTCCTCATCCTAGTTGGCCATTGGAGTCGAATGCTTTCTACCTACCACCAGAAACATCGATCAACAATAATAATCCGTTCGATTCCTCTCCAAGCATTCAACCATATTTTGTAACTGGTTCGTTTTTTTACTCATACTATTATTCTTGTATAAAGAATCGGATCTGTCGTGGCCGGAGGTCCCACAACGACGGCTACAGTAACCTAGAAGTTGTTTTATTGTTCATATTTACTTTCTCGGTTTCCCAGTGAAAAGGGTGTCCCTTAGAAATCAGAAAATAGCTTAAAAACTAGGAACTTTCAAAAAGATCTTCAAAAAGATCTGTGAATACAAAATTTTAAACCTAGGTCTGTTAAATAACCTCCAAAACCTTCCAAGTGATTAGACACTTGACAGCCGAGCTCCAGACTCCGGAAAATGGTCAAAATCAACTGAAAAACACACTTTTGTGTACCTTATTGACCGGTACTGTATCTGTAAAAAATAAAAGAAAACTCGATGAAAAGCAGTGAAAACTGAGAAAATATATATGGTAAATAAGACAATTTTTAGGTTACTGCAGTTGTCGTTGTGGGACCTTCGCCACGGTCCCAGCTCCGATTCTTTGCACCAGACTAATATGAGTCAAAAATTTTCAAATTTTCATTTTTTCCAGCAAAACAAGCGGGAGTTCCGTTCCCATCAATTTCCCACAACCCTCAACAATCGGATGAGGATGCGATGTCAACGATTCCTGGATTCGATCATCTTGCAGAAGATATGGCAAGACATCTGGAGTTGTGGTGACACAGATGATCTAATTTATCCTTGTTTTTCCTGTGTCTGTGAGTATTGTCCGATGAGTAGTTACTAATAATTTATGAGCATCGATCGACCCGAATACAACGTGATTAATAAGAAGACGGCTCGAGCGATGTCACATCTCACTAATATTTTTATTTCCGAACTCTAATATTTCTTTTTTTCTAGTTTTTTTCTCTTTTTTCTGAATAAAGTTTTCGCTTTTTTTTTGTTTTCAAATAGCTCAAGAGTTGGCTATTTTTATTTCACACAAGGATAAACGTTGCCAAAATCCTAAGCTTCTTTCTCTACCATAATAAAAACAATCAGATGAGGTTGAAATTTGGGGGTGAAAACCGGAACAAAAGAGCAAAAGGGGAGCAGAAGAAAGGGATGAAAAAATAAAATAATCGGGGCGAAAAACAAAATTGATGCATATACTGACTACAATTACATTTATCGAAAAAAAAGGGAAGCTAGAGACACGATCAATTCGGAAACGAAAATTTACAACTGAGGTGACGGGAATAAGTGAGTAGGTTCGATCGAGATGCTCCATAGGAGTAAACTTCTCACTTTGGTCCGATCCTTTGGCGAACTTTGTTGTATTTATCAGTCAGACGATCCACTCCGGACGCGAATCGTCGGTAACCATTTTGTAAATGAGCAGCAATCGCCAAAACCATGTAGTAGGTTTGTTGAGTCAGTTTCACACCATAGAGGATCACATCTTTGGTCACGTTATAGAGTAGAACCTAAAAAAAAGATGGAAGAATTTAGAAAATGTCGTAATCAGAGTGAAGAATTGATGCGATTTTCAAGGTCTTTTGTTAATTTGAATCTATCTCAAGATGCATTTTTTCATTGTCGATGGTAATATTTTAAATTTAAAAAGTTATAAAAAACTCACCACGGCCTTCGTGATAGCTGCTGACCGTATAATTCCTGAAACCTGCGATGGATATGATTGGACAGATTCAACCCAGGTGTCGCGCTCCCACACTCCAACGCCCCGACGATCAGCAACCTGAGAAACTATCAAATTACTTCTACTTCCACACCTCAAAAATTACCTTTTCACTCATAAGAAGCCGACTAATGAGTCTAGAATAAGCAGGTACCGATTGCAACGACTTCAAATGTTTTACTTGTTCTGGACCTGGGACTCTAGCGTATCCACGTCTAACAACTTCAACATTGAGATTAGTACGACCAAATGCGGTTCTTTTGACGGTGACATCGGCATCTACGACGTCTGGAGCTCCTTCAACCTCCTAAATGATTTTTTTTTTCGTATTATGTGATTAAAAAGAACTCTTACCTTGATAACTGTGAAGGTGACTGGTTTGTTAGTCAACCTCAAATCTTTGGCTAAGAACTGTTGTCCCGATTGTGAAAGCTCTACACCGGCCAGTCGGAGATTCAGAAGACCCGTATTGACGTTCTTTCGTTTGGGAAGGAACGGAATCTTCATAATGGGCTCATGTTCGACACGCAGTTCTCCACTGGGAAGCACTTCGCGTACTCGTCCCTTTAGTTCCAATTCTTTTCGAATGAAGTCTTTCGGGATTTGATTTACATGTTGGAACTTGTGGAACTGGAAATAAAGATAATTGTATTTTTAAACATAAACAAAGAATACCAGTTTGGAATTTCTCAAATAGATGATCCCTCCTGCCAGTCCAACTCCGACAATTGCTCCCTGGAAACCATTTGGGCTCGATTACCATTGGCTTAAATTTGATATAACTCACTCGAACAGCAAGAGCCGTGTATTTGTCGACTGGGTCCACAAGTTTTCCGCCGTCTGGGATGGATTTGGCGGCTGGAATAGTTTGCCCATGGTCCGGGTGTGTGGCAGCAGCTTCCGCGTCTGCCATTCTCTGAACACTTGAAAAATGATTTAGAATTGTGGACAAGATAGGTAGGTGAGTTTTAGAACAAGGTTTCTAAAGGTTATGCACCAGAAAACATTGTTTGCCTTCAGGAAAACAATTCAAAAAACAGCAGCCCGAGGCCCTGCACGAGGAATGCGCTAGCTGACAGATCTGTGTCAATAAAGCTGAAGACGCAGAAAGTGTTTTCCGAGAGGACTACACGAGAAAAAACAGCGGGAAACTGAAATTGTTTTTTTTGGTTTTCAGCTAGTTGTTTTTCAGAGAAAACATATCAAAGCACCTATTATTTGTTTTCAGAAAACTATGAAACGCACTGAAGAAGATTTGCTAACAACAGAATTTGCTCCCAAGCGACGAGAAGATTTGCATATTCACAATAAGAAAATAGGAGAAGTAAAAAATCTGTGTTAAATAGCCTCTGAAACTGCAAACGATAAAAATAATTCAGGTATCCAATTGGATAAAAGCTGCGTTTGCCCAAGAAAATAGACATCAACCTGTTTTGTACCTGACGGGACCTACTGGATCAGGTATTTTTTAAAAATTATTTCAGAAAATAATCTCCCAGATTAATAGGTAAATCAACTGCTGTCGAAGTTTTGTGCATGCACCATAATGTGGAATTGATAGATTATTCTCCCGAGCTTCTTTACGATGATCATCTCCAATATGAGAAACATGATTTGAGCCAACTCACGAATTTTCTGATCCGACGACATGCTAGCTTGAAAAAAGGGTCTTCTAAAATTGTTCTTTTCGTTTCCGAGCTACCGGATCAAGCATATTTGTTGGTTTTTTGTGAGACATGATTTCAAACTTTTCGAAATATTACAGAGATCCCATTACCTTCCGAAATGAGCTTCTTTCTGCACTTTATGGTCTCAGACATCCTGTAATTTTCTGCCTTACCAATGATATAGCATGTTGGACATTGAATCCAGATAGGTTATTGACAAATGACTACATTCGTGTAAGAATGCCCTATTCATAAAAAATTCGGAAAGATAAGTTTTCAGACAAATTATATCGACACAATCACATTCAATGCAGTGGCAGTTACGTTTTTGAAGAAAGCGTTGGATCGAGCATCGAACCTTCTTCAGACACCATTATCTAACTCAAAGCTCTTAATAATAGCAGAAGAGTCACGTGGCGATTTGCGCGCTGCGATGAATATGCTTCAGATGAATTCAGTGGGAAAGAATCCAAATAGAAGAACTGGGAAGGATGTGATTTGTGCATCGAAGGCAAACAGGGAAGAAGCTTTTCACATGATTGGGAGAATCCTTTATGCAAAACGTGTCAATCCGAATGCTCCTGTAATTTCGAGAATCACAAACAAAAAAAGAAAATCAGTTCCGGTACCAGAGCCAACAGAACGCACAGATCTGGAGCATAATCCGAGTGATATCATTACGATGTCTAATATGCCATCTGATAAGGTGATTTTGATAATCTGAAGATTCTTCGAAAACAAAAAATATTTTCAGCTCATAGAATTTTTGTTTGAAAACGAGCACTTCTTTTGTTCGGATCTCTCCAAATATCGCAAAGTCACTGACACATTTTCCGCTTGTGACTTTATGATGGGAGACTGGAGTACCGCCCGTTCGTTACCAGATGAGTATGCTTCGGAGATTGCAGTGAGAAGTGTTATGTGGCATAATTTCAAAGGGCGTAAGTACTGTATAATTTCTATAAATGTGAAGGTTTTCTGTTACAGCGAGACCAGTGACTATGCAGCCAATCGCTCGTCCTGTATTGAGAGAACTCAAAAAGCAAATGGATTCAACTAGAAATGAAGTTCAAAAGTTATCAATAATCGGAAACAGTTACTTCTCTTCCTTGCAAGTTTTCAGTTTTTTTAAATCTGATATTTTTTTCATTCCATTTTCAGAACCGCTCCATATCAAACTATCATTGAAAATATCACTGATCCATTGAGCATAGAGAATTTTCTTTCTAGACCTTTAGAAGTCAGTTGGAAACTGGGCAAAGATCAAATTGAAGATAGACTGGAGAAGAGGGTTGAACTAAATTTAAAACTATGAAACTTTGAAAACTCTTTGATTTTCAGAATTCTCTCAACTTCAAAGGTCGAAGTAGACCAAAGAAAAATAAAAATTCGAAGATGCCGAAAGCAACGGAAAAAGTTGATGATGAGGAGGAAGAAACGTACACAATCGAAGAATCCAGTGATGATAGTTTTGATGATTTTTAAAAAGTTCTTATCCTATGTTTTATGTTTATCCCGATTTCATTTTTTTTTGTTTCCCGGGTGTCAGTGAAATCGGGTGTTTTTTTCATGTCAGTTTTTACCAATAAAGAGCAACAGAAGAATTTTTACTTGAAAATTTATTAGGTCAGAAAAAATAGTGAGTTAACATGTTCAAATTTCCACGTGAACATAAAATTTTGGAATTAAATCAGACATAAAATTGCATTTCCATTTTTTTTTCTATTTTCAACGTGAACTCTTCTCTATCTCGGCAGAGATCTCTTATCAGTTTAAAAATCTAGAGCGAAGATCGGAAAAATTGATAAGATTTGGGAGTATATAAAGGGATCGTTTTGTACAGTATCCTCATCGAGTTCAACTCAATCCAAACCGCCATGGCCCAATCCGTCCCACCAGGAGATATCCAAACCCAACCCAACGCCAAGATCGTCTTCAATGCCCCGTACGACGACAAACACACCTACCACATCAAGGTGATCAACTCGTCCGCCCGTCGCATTGGATACGGTATCAAGACCACCAACATGAAACGTCTTGGAGTCGATCCACCATGTGGAGTTCTCGACCCAAAAGAGGCTGTTCTCCTCGCCGTCTCTTGCGATGCTTTCGCCTTCGGACAGGAGGTACACTTGCTTCGATAGATGATTTGTATCTTAATTTAATTCTAATTTCAGGACACCAACAATGACCGTATCACCGTTGAATGGACCAACACCCCAGACGGTGCCGCCAAGCAATTCCGTCGTGAGTGGTTCCAAGGAGACGGAATGGTCCGCCGCAAAAACTTGCCAATCGAGTACAACCCATAATTGGTCACAATTGATGTATTGAACTCTTTTGTAATGGTTGTCAAAATAAATGGTTCATGACTGATTTTCGTTTTTTTCATTATTCAATTTTCAGAGCAAATTGTAAATACACATCATGTGGTTCAAGTTCAATAAGCACCGTCTTTAGGGCTAACTTTTGAGAATTTTCAGAAGTTTGGAACAGCAGAATTTCAGAACCTAGTGTTTTGAATATCTGGAAATTTACAAGTACAAAACGACGAATTTAAATTTTCAGAACTGTAGACATTCAAAAAAATCAGGACCTCGAAAATTTCGAAATTCAAAAACTTTGAATTTTTGGCCACCAAAAATCCTGATGTCCTATATTTCCAGGAAACTCTGCTAGAATACGGAATTCTCCCATCTTGAAATGTTTAATCTAGATCTGGCAAAAAGTACGGTTTCGTGTCTCATATAGCTATAATTAACTATCAGGTGGTGTTAAATATACTAGGTGGGGCTATATGAGTTGAGGGGTTGTGAGTCATACATATTTTACATCCTCCAAAGTTTTTTAAGTGATCATGACTTGACATCCGAGCTCCAATTCCTTCTGAAAATGGCCAAAATAGCCGAAACTAACTGAAATATGCGTTTTTGTATATCTTATTGACCGGTACTGTATATACTCTCCCGCTCTATCTATCTGATTTTATCCGACACTGTCCGCCTGGGATCTGATCGGATGGCGACAGAAAAGTACCTGACAGACGACAAAAGGCAATATCTTTCTCTCATTTAGCCTCATCGGATCGCCGCTGTTCCGTACAGTTCCCATATTGTTTTTGTTTCTAAATATCTAGATTCGTTTTAAAGTCGTTGTGTTACTCGATTTTTTTTTCTCCTACACACATTTATTGTATTTTCAGAAAAATCTATGTTTGTTACTCATTTTTTCATCGTTTTTACGTGTCCCGGGACCAATGTGCTTGCAGGTAATGATGTCTTGATTAAAGGAATATATGCTTTTTAAGCTACCGTAAAACCTGTAATCGAAAGGCCCCCTAACATTAACTTTGAGCCAATATTTCTCGATTTCTGTGAATATCAGGCGTGTACACATATTAATGTTTCAGGTGTGATGAACCGTTCTAAAAACTCTACTACATCAACAGACGCGGATCGTTTATCACTTCTCGACATGGACGTTGAGCTAGCCAAGATTACGGACACCTGTCTCAGCGATGCCGATTATGAACAGATAACAGGAAACTATGTGAAAGCCTTCCTGGCTCGGGGTAGTTGACAATATTTAGGTCCCTGAAAGCGTCGCCATAATAGGTTTTCAAGAAATGCGGAGAGTTCTGAAATTCTCACCACCTCATAAGTGGCAATCGTACAACGGTACAGAACCAACCTTGGCGGAAATGCAGAGCGCGTCGACGCCTGAAGCATGCTACGATTTGAGAGAGAATAGAATTGCATCGAGGCGAAGCTACGCTGGCGAGTATTTATTCCCACACAACGTAGCGACTGTCATCGAAATGGAGTGGTAGATAAATTAGTGGTTGATCAGTTAATCAATGAGTATTCCGACACTTTTGAAAAATAGATTATTCAACTAAAGAGATGATGTTATACAAGAGAAAGTGTCAAAATTCGCAAATCGTAAGGATGCTCTCATCTTTTTCTTCTATGTTGAAACAATTGTGAAATAAATAAAACTCTTCTTCACCCCTCATCGACTTGTATCGGATACAATTGGGAAATAAATAAAGAATTCATTCAAAATTCAGAAAATTTTTTGCCATTATGTAAATGTATGGTTTGTATATTTCCCCCCAGAAGAATTTGAACTTTTGGATTTTGAATTTTCGCTTTCATAGTTAGATTTTTTGTCTTCTGAAGTTTTGTTTCCGGATCTTTGAATTTCCAAGTTTCTCAGCCTTTCAGTTCGAAAATTCAAAAATTATCGAGTTTCCGGATTTTAGAAAATTCTGAATTCCAGAGATTTTGAATTTTCGAACATCCGATTTCCGAACATCTGAACTTCTGAATTTTATGAAACTTTGATTTGTTGTTTTCAAAATTGTCAAATCCCGAATTCGAGACTTTCTAAATTCATAAATGAATAAATGTCCGAATTTTAAAAATTTAGGCTTTCAACATTTTTAAAATTATTCAGACTGTGGGTTTTCGAATTTCCGAAATTCCGAGTCCCGGAATTCAAGATTTCCTAGATTCATAAGTTTATAAATGCTCGAATTTTAGAATTTTAGAATTTCCACATTTTTAATGTTTTAGCTTCTGAAATTTTAGATTACCGAATTTTCCAAATTCCAAATTCCGGAAATTGAGAATTCCTAATGTTCTGATTTTCTGAAATTCCCAATTTCCGAGTTTCCGAGTTTCCGTATTTCCAAACTTCGGAATTTAAGAATTTCGGAATTTTAAATTTTCACAATTTCCGAATCTCTGAGTTTGAGAATTTGAGAATTTCTGCATTTTTTGGATGTGTTTTGAAAGTCCAACATGTAAAACAACTCTAAATAAACCAATAAATTTATTACCAGCAGGTGCCTTAAATATTATAAATATAAATATATATATTGGAACTCTTTTTATTCGTCTGTTTCTCCTGTTATCTCCAGTGCTCGCAAATGTCCTCCAATCAGTTCTCGCAAGGGATATGATCGGACGGCGATAGAAAAGTAGGTCTACCTGAAAGATGATGAAAGGTAATTTCTTCCCCTCGTTTATTCCAATCGGATCACTTTTTCGTACAGTTCTCACTATTTTTTGCTATCTAGATTAGTTTTAAACTCATTCTGCTACTCGAACTCTTTTTCTCCTACAAACATTTTTGTATTTTCATACGAATCTATGTTTGTTACTTATTTTCTCATCGTTTGTATCTGTCTCGGGACCAATGTGCGTGCAGGTAATGTTGTCTCAATAGAAAGAATACGGTGTTTTCTCTAATAGAAGCCCACCCTCCGACGTTCTTAAATACATAGAAGCGCAACCTCTAACAGAAGTTCCTGGTGTGCAGTTCGTCGGTTATAACATACATTTTCTTACTTTTTTGTAAAATTTCTGATGATTTCAGTTTTGGTAATTTCTTGAGAAGAAGGTTAAAAAATAGAAGCACATGGGCTTCACAGAGAGAATATACGGTATATTATTTTTGGGCTCGATCAGGTCAATATTTCAGGTGTGACCACCCGTTCCAACAGCTCTACTACATCAACAGACGCACAATCTACTCTGTTACCGAGATCAAATCATCTTCGGTTTTCGATACAGACGACGAGCTGACCAAGATTGCGAACACCCGTCTCAACGATGCCGATTATGAACAGATGACAGGCAACTACCTTAAAGCTATCATAGCTCGATCACTTTCCTATATGTTGATCCCCGAGTGCGTCGCCAAAATAGGTCATCAGGAAATGCTGGCAGCTCTAAAATTCTCACCAAATAATCCGTGGCAAAAGTACAACGATACGATCCCAACCGAAACTGAACTGCAGAACGCGTCCACGCCTGAAGCATACTACGAGTTGAAAAGCTTATGGAGACAAAGAATAGATGACCAGTTTTTATTCGAACGCAGCGTTACGACAGGTATCGAATTTCTGGACGCTCGCTTCCCATCGATTCGAGTTATTTTCTAGAAAGCGTTCGAAGCGAAACATCCAAGAAATGAAGTGATAGGTAAAACAACGGTTGATGACATGATGAAAGAGTATTCCTACATTACTGGTCGAGTAATGAAGGCAATTAGAGAGGTGCTGTACAGATTTGAATGGGACGACTGGATAATATAAAATCGTATTTCCACGGAAGCCTACATTGGAATATTTGCTATCTAGCACATCTCTAAATTTATCCTTTCGTGTATTTTTCTTCATCTTTTTCCCTGTTACCATTCAATAAATTAAATAGAAAGTATCTTATTGCCTCTCTTCACCATCAATCTAATGTAAAAAACAAGAAAATGTAAAAACAAAATTCACTTTTGAGAAAACTAGGGTTTTGAATTCCCGGAAATCTACAAGTAAAAAAACTATCTGAATACTAATTTCACTGTCAGAACATGCACTCTTTAGAATAGCACAAATATATAATTGAAATCTGAAAAACTGAAGGAATTCAAGAAATACAAAAAAAATGTAATGGTACATCGTGTGCAGAAAATATTGTGTGCAGAACATTTTTAACGTCAATCGGATAACTAGTAAAAAAGTTTTTCTGAAAAATGTAAAAGGGTACAGGATTATGGCCAGCACTGTAGAAGTCCAAAAATTCAGGATCGCGAAATGTTTTTAAAATTAAGAAAGTCAGAATTTTGGATCACTAAAAACCTTGGTTTCTTGTACTTTCAGACATTATTTAATTTTAACATTCTTCGCCTTGTTCATCAGAATAATAAAGAAAAACATTTTTCAAGAATACAGGATTCTTCTTTCTTTAAGATGAATTTTTAAAATGAGGCATAGAGACTACAAACTACAAAAATAAAACACAACGGTTTAAATTATTAAAATTTGAAATGCTTAAAACACTTGGGAACAATTTATTGAACTCCAGCTCATAGAAAATTTTCTGCGATGCTCCGCCTTTACAAAACTGCCAACAATTTTGAAATCCGGGTCGGAGATTATTTAATTTAGACCTGGCAAAAAATATGGTTAGGGTCTCATACAGCTATCCAGATATAATTAAATATTCTTTAAGTCATCGGAAACTTCAGCCGAGCCCCAGACCCCTGAAAATGGTCAACATAACCGAAAACTAACAGGAATATACGTTTTTGTATATCTTATTTGCCGATAGTGTATATACTTTCGTATCCGATACTATCTGCCTGGGATCTGATCGGGCAGTGATAGAAAAGTGGGCCTACCTAAAAAATGATAACTCGTAATTTCTTCCTTTCATTTAATCCAATCGGATCGATGTTTCGTACATTTCTGACTTTTTTGTTGCTATCTAGATTAGTTTTCAACTCATTATGTTAATTGAACTCTTTTTCTCCTACAAACATTTATTGTATTTTCAGGCGAATCTATGTTGGCTACTTATTTTCTCATTTTTCTCATCATTTGTATCTGTCTCGGAAATGTGCTTGCAGGTAATGATGCCTTGATTTAAAGAATATTTGATTTTTGGGCTATTTCAGGTGTATAGACATAGTAATCACCCGTTCCAACAGCTCTACTACAGATGCAGAGCGTTTATCACTTCTCGACATGGACGTTGGGCTGGACAAGATTGAGGATACCTGTCTCAGCAATGCCGAGTATGAAAAGATGATAGGAAATCAAATGAAAGCATCCGTGGCTGGAGTATTCATCTCTACTTGGTTCGCTGAGAGCGTCGCTATAATAGGTTTTCAGGAAATGCGGAAAATTCTGAAATTCTCACCACCTCATCCGTGGCAATCGTACAACGGTACAGAACCAACCTTGGCGGAAATGCAGAGTGCATCCACGCCTGAAGCATACTACGATCTGAGAGAGAATTGCATTTCATCAAGGTCAACCTACGTTGGCGAGTATTTATTCTATCCAAGAAATCAAGTGATAGATAAAACAACGGTTGATGACATGATGAACGAATTGGACTACACTCGTCTTAGAGTAAGGAAAGCGACTGACAAGGTGATCCACAGGACTAAATGGGACGACTGAAAGTATGAAAGCGTATTTCCACGTAAGCCTAAATTGGAATGTATGCAAATGATATCTATGTTGGAAGGGTGGCTCTACACATTTAATGTCAATTCTCAATTGGTCTGAATTCGCATACCTATAAATTTATGCCCTGTGTATTTTTCCTCTCATCTTTTTTCTGTATTATAACCATCAAATAAATAAAATAGGATATACTGTGAACACTCTAATAAATGGACACCCAATACTTGCACGTTCAGGATAATTATCTCACTATCAGTTCCAATGAGAGATATTAAAAATGTGTCAACTGGAAAAATGTCGATGATATTATCACTTATACAGTCTACCTGTTCAACTGTATCCGTGAGTGACATCAATATATTTAAAAACAGAATTTGAAAAATAATTGAAAATCTGATAAGCAACGATAGAGCAAAGTGGAAGTTACATGTTTTGAACAAACTTGTAGCCGAAAAAAAATTAGGAATTCCAAAAATTCCTAATTTAATAGTAAAAGGTAATAAAGAAAACTTTATTAAATGTTCGAATAACTTGGTTTTGTTCTACTAGGCGAAGATGCAGGTGTGATATCAATCAGTTCATTGATGAAATGATTTATTTCTTTATTGATGGGATCCTTCTTGCTGCCACGTTTGCGCTGGAATGATTTCTATAACAAGGGGATCCGAAAAAGAGCTCTTACAGCAATGTAATCCAGAACCACAGCATATATACCCGCATATTGTGAAAAGGATTCGGTCGCACTGGGACGTTGTTGTTTGATGTCTCTCATTATTTCACAGATCTGGAAAGTTGGAAATAAAGAAAAACATGGGAGTTTGAGTTTTTGCACATTTGGCTCAATCCCATTGTTCAGTTGATTAATTGCGTAGAGAACCCCAATAAAACTACAAGCACGTCCACACCCAAAAACGCTGACAACACAGACACCGGGATTTTGAATCTGAAAATGTTTGAATGAACAAAACAAATATAATAAAATGTTACCTGTTTCTCGGTCAGGAACTGATGAATCATCTTGATAATCGGTCTTGTCTTTGGTGCTTGTTGCCGATTTTCCCATGATGCATGATGATGAACTTGGCACATTACAGAATCTGAATTTCCCTCTGGCAACACTTCAATCGTATATTCTTTTGGATCTCCAGAAACTTCTGTTCTCCGATTGTTGATGAACATTCTCCCAATGTATTGATATTCACCAAAATTTGGACGGAAAAAAGAAGTTGGCGTGTTTTTGAGTGATTTGTCTGGAACCATTAAATAGACCAGAGTGATCTGTTCTTGATAGATCATGTGCCAGAAATCTTCCACAAAACTATCATTTTCAAATTGAGGCAACTGGGCGACGATTATTTTGTGATTGAACTTAAATTAGTGGGTTACTGTAGTTTATGATGAAACGACTTACATCCTTCAAAGTGATGCGACTGGCGTTGATGTAATTGACGTCATCGTGTCCAGGGCGGTTCAGAATGACACGGTTTTCATCGTAGATTTTTGGGGACTGAAATTTGAAAGAAAGAGTAATAATCTGTAGCTGTTACCGTACCCCGTGTCGATTTCTCGTAATATTGGCATCAAACGCCTCAGTGGTTTTGTTGCAGATCAGTGAATCGAGAAACTCGAATTCGGAGCGGATCTTTTTGATATCTGGAAAAGGGAAACTTCTGAAAAAGATAAAATAAAATGAGATTTCACCCTTGTTATTATTGAAAAAGTTGAGGGCCGCAGGCATCCCAAGCCACATTTTTGGTCGTTTAGTTGGTGCTTTTGGTGTTGTAGGAGGTGGTGGTGAAGTTGGAATCGCATCTAGTAGAACAGTCTCATCCATATTAATCCTAGTGTGCTCTTCTTTCGTTTCGTCTCGCTTCTCATCTTTCTTTTCCTCTTTCTTTTCTTCCTTACGATCTTCTTTTTTCTCTTCCTTACGTTCTTCAACCTTTTTCTCTTCTTTCTTTTCTTCCTTCTTTTCCTCTTTCTTATCATCCATTTTCTTTTTTCCATCATCATGTTTCTTCTCCTTCAACTCATTCGCTTCTCTAATTTCTTCTTTTTTGATCTCTGCCATCAAATCAATCGTCGATGGAGCCACCACTGGTTCTGCATCTTCTTCCATATCCACTGAACTGAGCACTGAGCTCATTCGACTTTTTGGTTCTGTTTCTCGAGACGTGCTGCTTCTACTGGTGTTGCATTCTTTCTAAAATTTCTGCTTGAAATTCCAGATTTCTTATTTTGTTACCGAAACAGATTTATTGAGAGATGTCGAGTTTCTCTTCCTATTTGTGAATGCTGCTTTGACTTTAGAAACTTTTGACTCCGGTGTCGTTCTGGAATAAACTCAACAGAGATAATAAAATCTATTCTGAAAACTAACTCCGACCCTTTCGACGTTTTCTTTTTTGCATTGTTGTTCTCGGAGCTGCGAGTTCGTTGACGCAACGTCTTCTTCACTCTCTGTACCACAGATTTCTTTTCAGGCATCTCTTTTTCTTTTTTTATGACTTCTCTTTGGCTTGTCGCTTTTTAATTTCTTTTCAAATTGCGAATCGAAATTGACTTTTTTGTCCCCCTCTCTTGTGTCGATATTCTTTCTGTTTAAGGGGAGAGAATTAAGGAAATGGCTGGAATTCGCGAAGGAGTTTCAGCAGAAGAAGGGGCTATTACGTGGATAGACGGTGAAATATAGACCCACGTGATACCAACTGGTAAACACTGAAAAGGATTTTATTGAAAGGACCTAATAAGGCATTCAGGTTCTGGTATTCCTGATATTCTATGTATTCCTCGAGTTCTCACGTGAACTTCCTTCATAAGAATGTTGGATAACTTTTTTCTCTTATCAGCTTAGAGATCTAGAGCAAAGATCAAAATAACTGATAAGAAATGAGAATATATAAAGGGATAGTTTTGTAAAGTATCCTCATCGAGTTCAACTCAATCCAAATCGCCATGGCCCAATCCGTCCCACCAGGAGATATCCAAACCCAACCCAACGCCAAGATCGTCTTCAATGCCCCGTACGACGACAAACACACCTACCACATCAAGGTGATCAACTCGTCCGCCCGTCGCATTGGATACGGTATCAAGACCACCAACATGAAACGTCTTGGAGTCGATCCACCATGTGGAGTTCTCGACCCAAAAGAGGCTGTTCTCCTCGCCGTCTCTTGCGATGCTTTCGCCTTCGGACAGGAGGTACACTTGCTTCGAAAGATGATTTGTATCTTAATTTAATTCTAATTTCAGGACACCAACAATGACCGTATCACCGTTGAATGGACCAACACCCCAGACGGTGCCGCCAAGCAATTCCGTCGTGAGTGGTTCCAAGGAGACGGAATGGTCCGCCGCAAAAACTTGCCAATCGAGTACAACCCATAAACATCATTGAACTCTCTTTGAAAATGGTTTTGAAAAGTGAATAGTTTTTCTTGTACTTCTTTGTTGTATCTGGGCTTTTACAACAGTTTTAAAAAAGCACGATACCTGTTCTGTTCCAATAGGAGAAAACCATTTTTTAATCCATCATAATATATTCTGATTAAAAAATTAAAACTTCAGAATTTACTCTTTAGAAAAGATTTATTGAGGTCGAATAGACTTTTAGATACTCGAGGAATAAAAGATTTGACAGGAAATCTGGGGGACATTGAAATGATAGAGTACAAATATGACGAGAGGGGGGAGAGTTATTATTAAAGTGGAAATGAGTTTACAACCAATAAGTTCAAATTGTCTTGCGTGGAGGACCGCCGCCGCCTGATTTCTTCGAGGATCCTGGAGTGGTTGGAGTCTTCTTCTTCTTTGATTTCTGCTGCTCTCGAATTCTTCCGTCCAAGTATTTCTTGGCTGCTTCCACCAAACTTTTCATTCCGAGATGTTCACCCATCAGTAGGAATCCATGAATCTCTTTGTCTGGCAGCTCACTCAGAAACTCTTCTTTCCAATTGGAAGTCGTTGGATTGTCCACTCGACACATCTGACACCATCTCTGAATCAACCTCATCACATCTGAATTGACACGTGGCATTTCAATCGGGTCGTTGATTGAGAGTCCCGATTTTGTGTCGGTGAGAGCAGCAACACCGGCTAGAACAGTTCCATGGCTCATATCTTCGCGGGTCATTTCAAAAATTTGGTTGTCCGTGGTCAGGAGTTTGTAGATTCTTCCACTGCTACTGGATGGTCCGCTCATCTGAAAAATTGAAATTTCAGAATTTAAGAAAAAGGAAATTAAATTATTCAGGTCAAAAAAATTATTTGGTCAGGAAGTGCCAAAACTTAAGACGGTTGCTGTGGAAACCGGACTCATTATGAGGCGGAAAAATACGAGTATAGATGACGGAGGAAATGTGCACAAGAAGAAGAAGAAAGAGATAATTGATATTTGAGATCTAGTTTTTGCGGGCAGTAGAAAAGGGAAAAGGAATGAAAGAAGGGAATGAGTAACTTTGAGAGAGCAAATATACATTTTGGATAGAATTGTATTTTGAAAATCAGAAGTCCTTTGATGTTTTAAAAAAATCGAAAAATCAATTCGATTTCAAATGAAAAACACCTCGAATCAACCATTCAAAAAGGGAATGCAATAACTGGCGGCGTCCGAAACAAGAAGATCAAACTTTAAACTTGTAGAGCAAAAAACTTCAAAAATTTTCTGAAAATTGGACATCAAGAAAAATTTGATCTACATATTGTCTGGTACAAAATAGGCGGAGCTGTGGAAGAGAAACTTTCGTGGCCGTGGTCGAAGGTCCCACAATGACAACTACCGTAACCGAAATTGTTTTTTTCAGGAACATGCTGCAGAATTTGAATCTCTGAAAAAAATAGCTTGGAATTGTAAAATTGTTTTGAAATTCTTCAGAAAATATTTTTTAAATAATTTTTGTAGCTACCAGCACTTTGGACCTGTTCGGTTTTTTGATACGACAAGTGTATGTCCCTGAATTTTCGAATATTAGAGTCTTTGCTGTTTTGTAAAATTTTTCTGGTTTATTTCAAAGATAACTTTTTCTTTTCTTTCCAACTTCTAAAAAGAATTTCCAATCTCCAATAACTAATTTCTTTCTTTAATAGTAAGAAGAATGATTTCCAATTTTATTAGAACCATGAACCATTGCAATTTTCTTTTCTTCTGCCAATTCGAATTAGATTTTTTCGGAAATGCGAAAGTTACAGTTTTTGAAAACCCCATTCATCAGCCGACAACGATCTTCAGAACCTTCATTCTCACTTTCGTTATATTATTCTTGTAATGCTCATTTAACAATATTTAGTTAACATGTTTATTATCTCTTTTAACATTGAAGAAAATTTCCGAATTCCCAACTTCAATCATTAATCTCGAATTATGCATGAGTTCTGGAGTTCTTTTGACGAGAACGAGCAATGGTATCCGACATTCCGGAGAGGATCGCAAGAGCAATCAGAAGAACGAAGGTTCCGCCACAGCATGCAATGAAGATTGTTTTCTGTTTGGTGGTGTAGGTGACCAACTTTTCCACGTCATCCAAGTTCAGAGAATCAGATGTTGGAGAGTTCAAGACTTTGTTAGTCGTTCCGGAGGTTCCATCGGTTCCAGGAGTTTCAGTCGATTCCGATGATCCAATAGGTCCATATGAGGAGGAAGAAGAAGAAGTTGGGGATGAGTTGGCGTATTTCGAAGTTATCACGGATTCAGTTGATGATGAATAGAGAGCATCAGATGTAGATTGACTCGATGCGAACACGACTAAAAATATGCACTGTATTCCGTAAAAAGTAAAAAAATCTACTCACTGAAAATTGAAAAAAGGAGAAGAAGGCAAGAGCGCATGTTGGAAGTGAAGTCGAAAAGAAGAATGAAAGTGAATCGGAGGGAGATGTCGGGAGTCGTTGCGAAGCACCCGTTCAATGCAACCATGGAAGCAAGCAGAGGAAACGGCGGAGGAGTTTATGGGAAAAAATAAAACAGAAAAAATCTTTATTTTTTTGAGCCGATGGAGAAACTCCCAAAACTCGAGAATTGAACGCTGTACTAAATGAGGGTACATAAGAGCTTTTTGAAATTCTACAGAACACAAGAAAACAAAAAGCGAGGAGAAACATAGGGTTCCTAGCAGTGAAAATGTACTCATGAAAATCAACCAACTATAGTGATAAATATGCTGTTTAGAAGATCTAGATCTCTTCAAAATTTCAGATCTTTTCGGAGACTAATCTTACAATTAGCAAAAAATCACCTCAAACAAATCTGAACTCCTGTTCGAGTCGGAGCCTGAAATTCAGATTAGGTGTCATTGGAAATTACAAGAAAGTCAGTACCGTATCTTTCATGCTCTGTATCCCTTTTACGTTAGCACCTCTTCCCTTTTTGATTCAAATGGCCACCTTCAGATGATCTTAATTCTCAAACGTCTCTGATAATTATTTCCATAAAGAACTATTGCAGGTCTACAGATTTTAAGATTTCCAGATTCGTAGGAATCAGAAAAACGTAATCCTTTTGATTTTCGAATATTTTCCCCTTCAGTGATCCCTTTAATTTTCGAATATTTTTCCCCTACAGTAATCCTTTTTCACTTTTGAATATTTTCCCCCTACAGTAATCCTTCTGAATTTCCGAATGTTACTTCCTACGGTAATTTCTGATTCCATTGCTCATTTCAATCTGATCTTTCACCAAAAAGGCACAGAAATTATACTTTATTTCCCAAATAGAAGTGTGAGTATCATAACTTGAAATTCCAATTGTCTCCCAATTATCACTGATGCTGCATTCCTGGAACCTTGATGAGTGCAGATCTCGGAAGATGAATCTGTTGTCCGTTGTCCCACGAAACGATGCAACAATTCTCGCCCATCAACTGAAAATTTCCCTTTTTTTTCCCATTCTCAAGCCTAATCTCATTCTCTATTCAAGCCTCCACCAATCAAATATTTATTGCTCTCCCCCGTTTTCCATCTCTCTCACTCTTTTTTATGTTTTGACCAATATCCCTCACGTCACATAATCCTCTTTTCTATGATAAATACCTGTGTGACTTCTCCAGTCATATTGTACATGTGATGTCTCATTGGTTCCCATGCTGTATAGTTGATATCAAAAAGGTATGAACATTTGGGATCCTGGAATTCTTCGCAAGCAATGCATCGTGCCAATGTGTGGTTGTTTCTAGAAAGTTCAGAGTAATTCAGTTTTTAGGGATCAACAGGTTCCTTACCTATCATAAATGAATGGAAGTGATAGTGAATCATCGACCATATAACGAACGAATGGGCGCCAGTAAATCTCAATTGCATCCCGCTTCCATTGAACAATATCTGCCACATCGACATTCATCGGAAGACAAAGCTCAGCAAGAAATGGCATATTGTAGAACTAAGATGAAAGTATAGCGATTTTAATAAACATTTATGGGACTCACATGAGCTTCTCTCTTCAATTCCTCACAGGCTTCCGTATCGGCTGGTACCACAAAATGGTCTCCATCTCGGAGGTAGTTGAGAACTTTCCCAAAGTGTTTAGGATCTCGGTCGATGAAAATTTCGTCGCCAGTCTTCCAACGATCACTGACCATTACCGCGAGGACCTGGAAAAAATGCAAAGGATAAGTTGCAAAGAATTTGGAGGAAAGTTAAAAATAAACAGTGCCGGTCCATAAGGTATACAAAAACGTATTTTTCAGTTGATTTGGACAATTTTCAGGAGTCTGGAGCTCGGCGGTCAAGTTTCCGATCACTTGGAAAAATTTGGGAGGTGTAAAACAGACTAAGATTGAAAACTTTGCATTCACAGAACTTTTAAAAATTCCTAATTTTTCAGCTATATTCCTAATTTTTCCTATATTCCTAAAATTCCTAATTTTTCAGGCCAAAGAGGGGTGTCTTCCAGAAATTAAAAAAGGTGAAAAACTATTGATTTTCGAAAAATTATGTAAATGCAAAGAATTCAATCTAGGTATATTTTAAACCCTCCAAAATTTTCAAAGTGATCGAGCACTTGACAGCCGAGCTTCAGGCTCCTGAAAACTGTCAAAATAAACTGAAAACACGTTCTTGTATGTCTTTTAGGCCGGTTCTGTATGTTCAATATGATCTAGACACTACAGGCGAAAAGATCTAAAGAATTTGAAATTCCAAAATCTGAAGGTCCTATTTCTTCTAATCCATACCGTATCCGGAATCCGTGTCAACGTGGCTACCGTAGTCTCAAACTTCTTGCCACCAACATTCAACATAACTCGCTCGCTCAGATTGCTACCACCTTCCTGAGAAAAGGTCATCTGAAACGAATTCTTTAAAGAATTCTTAGAAAAAAGACTCACCGAGTTCTGAGACTTGTCCATATTTTTCAAGCTGTTTCTCCACTCTAAATGATAATCTCTTGGCAAGAAAGACTTGTTCAAGATTATGGAAATCCTAAAAAATGAAGGGATTTGTGGAAGAAGATGGGAATGACAAGAAGCCTTCTTTTCTCTAAATGCAAACACATCGGGATTAATTGAGTCAGAGAAATGAAGAAATAGTGTGGAAGATTGAGAGATGCAGAATAAAAAAATGGCGCATGGAAAGGTGGTTGGGGGTTGGCGATTCAATTTGAAGTGGATTAGAAGAAAACGAGTAGGAGAGAGAGAGAGAAAGTGAAACTGAGCACAAAAAAGTGTCAGTGATGAAAGGAGAGGGGATTGTGTTTGACAAGACGATTTGTATCCATTTCGTACACCTTTTTCGTATTCATTTTAGAAGTACATCTGATTCGTGGGAATTGACCAAAAATAAGGAAATTGGAGCCATTTCCTTCCGTTCAGATGGAGTAGAGAAGAAGGCGTGTGATTTTGGAGTGGATTTGGGCGATGGGAGAAGTACTTTGTAATTTGGGGTCATATGAAAAAAACACCATGTTTTACAAAAAAGTAGGAACATAAAAAATGGATTTGATATCTGACGTCAGTTGACAAATGAGGCGTGGTCTTTTTATTCAAAAACTGAAGTTCGAAAACGAAAAATACGAATTTCCGGAAGATACAAAAAATACAAGTTTTTCAGATTTGCAGTCTTGGACTTGGCCTGGCATCAAAATCCTGATTGGCAGTGAATTGGGATTCAAATCGAATTTTAAAAATGCCAAAAACGTTTAGGTGTCTATTGTGCAATTATTATTCTGGTACAAAAGATCGAATATGTGGAAGAGAAACGGCAGTGGCCGTGTCCGAAGGTCCCACAACGACCACTACAGTAACCTAAAAATATTTTTATTCTCCGTTATTATTTTCTGGTTCCGCGTCGCTTCGAAAACCGTCCTTTCGAAACCGTGGAAATACAGGCGAATGTATGAATTTCGAACTACAAGAACAATTTCAAGACTTTCAAATATGCGTTTTCTGACAGAACACATTCCGAAACTTGAAAAAAACCAAAATTTAGTTTTATCAAATAAATGTCTCTAATTTTTTGATTTTCAGAGGGAAATGACGCATTTTGCTAAAGATGCTGAAATTGAAGAAAAAAGAGATTCAGAAATTCAGATGTTAAGAAATTAAGATGTTCAGAAACTCGAAAACTCAGAAATTCTGGAATTCTGAAAGTCGTAAATTTTGAAATTTTTTAAAATTCTGATATACCGAGATTATGAGTTTCAGTATCTTGGAATCTCTGAATTTTTGAATACCATAAGCTCGGTATATCAGAATTTTAGGTTTTCAGAATTTCCGAATTTCTGAATTTGGTGACACGGACACCGGCGTTTCTCTTTCTCATTTCCGATTTTTCTTCTACCAGAACAAGACTTCGCAGATAAAAGTTCAACATTGCAAAAAAACAACAAATTCCAAAATTTCCAGGAGTTAAAGACATTTTTCAAGCCTTCATAAATATTCTGAAAATTCTATATACATGAAAATATAAAAATAAACACATGTATCACGTTCTTCTATTTAACTATACTTCCTCTACTTCGGCTCTCGGTCATCAATCCAAATTTCGAAAAACACTAATCAATCAACCAAAACTCTAAGTCTTCTTCTTCTTTTTTTCAACCAAATCAATCAAAGAATATTGAGAAAAAAGCTTCTCGTGAGAATGCAAAGAATTCGTACTTTTCTCTATTTTCTTCTTCTTCTTAAGAGCACCTGAATAGTTGGCTCAGTGAGCCGTAAAGCTCAAAGAAGAGTAGTTCATTAGCGATTCGTGGCCTTCTGGAGGATTCTAACGATCACAACAATGAGCGAAAAAAAGATGAAGACGCGATGGTGGAGAAACTTCAATTAGAGCTGAAAGCCATGAGCGAGAGAGTTCGCAACTTTGGCTGCGAATGTGCTCTCGGCTCTTTTTCTATTTGTATTTATCTTTGAAAAAAGCGAGAAATGGAGGTGGCGAGGAAGAGGGTATCGTGTGAAATAAGTATGGATTATTTATGAAAAACCGAGAAAAAAGAAGGAAAAAGAAGAGAAAACTTTGAAAAAAGGGAGGGGCAAAACAAAAAAATATGGGCGATATAATGCAAAGTGCGCATGTTGAAAAAGGAGACTCTGGAGGCAGAAAAAAAATGGAATCGAAATGTTGAAAAATGGAGACGAAGAGAAAGAAACGACGAGAAGAAGGAGAGTTTATTGCACGACGACTCTTCCATCAAAACGAAACCCATTTCTCAAAACAGGTAGTTGTTTTCTCTTCCGGTTGTTTGTTTTTTGAATTTCAGATGATCCTTCTTTTGAAAATCCAAAAACAAGACATCATCAAAACACAAAAATTTCAATTCTACAGTTTATATATGATTCTGGAACTTATGGGTGATGAAACGGCATGTGTATGGTTGGGATATTAACATTGAAAATTCGGGCTCACTCTTTGTATATTATAGTGAAATGCAACAAGAACCTTCTAGAGCAATAAAAAATTGGCAGGGAGGAACAAAACAAAATGGGTGTGTGATGGATGGGGTGGAAAAAGGAAAACATTTGGAAATGACAATAGTGATAAAATAAAGTTTTCGCCACACAATTTTCGCAAATCGAGCTTTCTTAATTCACAGGAAATTCTTATACAATAGAAAAATATGATATTGAATTAGAAGGGAAACAAGAAAAAAGAGAGAATGAAAAGGAAAAAAGACGGAGCATGACATATTGGGAGAATTTGTGGGATTTTATTTGCTTTTTTGTGGTAAAACATATATAAAACGATGTGATTCTATACTGTTGCCGCCCCGAAACCAAAATTCAGCATTTATTTTTTTGCTGAAAAGAGGAATCGGATATGATCTATCCTCCGTGGTGATTCCGTCCGATTCCATATTAATTAGTACATCCAAAATAAGTATGTGTAGGGGGAGGAGGCGAAATGTCAATAAAACTACCAAATATTGGCATGAATGAAATGAAATGGAACAGGATTAAAAAGTGATGATGGGAAATCGTATGCTATAAGTTGTAAAAAAATGAATTCTTGTGATTTTGGGGAATGGGAAATGGGTCCGAAAAACTGTAGGGGAGATTAATAACAGTGGGAAAAAGGAGAGAAACGATTAGAATTTTAGGACTGGGAAATTGAGGAGAAAACTGAAAGCAAAAACACGTATGTCATCAACACGACGGCGGAGGGACAAAATTTTGTATGTATTCAAAAAGAGAGCAATAAGACGAATCTACATACGTCGTCCTGCCACTCTTTTTGCTTCTTATTTTATAAAACTATCAAATAATTCACTGGGAAAGAGACGGGTGACGAGGAGTGTGTATTGGGGGTGTGAATGAGCGGGAAGAAGGGGAAAGACGCCGAACGAATCGCGTGGCAAAATATACATATATGAGATGGTTTCGTAACGATATCCGGACGATCTTCTACTTTTCACGGACCGCTCTGATGTAGGGAACCAGACTTGAAAGCGGCTTCGCCTTTTTCAGGAATGGATGAGCCAGGAGTTCCGTTGTATCCGCTCTGAAAACACTGCATTTGAGAATAGTCCATTTTATAGATAAATTAAAGAACCAACCTGTTATCTGGATCGACAACAAGACACCTATCAAGGAAGTTGTTGAATTCAGAAGACAACCGATCGCGTTGCTTTATCTCTGGTTTTCCATTTTGGGCAATCAGATAGATAGCCTGAAAAATTAAAATTTAGAAGTCTAGAAACGTAACTGTTCATATTTACCTTCAACGGGGTTTCCCTCAAATATGGCGGCTCTCCATCGATCATCTCGAGTGCCATAATACCAAGGGACCAGATATCAACCTTATAGTTGTATTGCTTCTTGTTTAATATCTCCGGTGACATCCAATACGGCGTTCCAACGACGGTATCTCTTAAACTAGTAACTTGATGATGGATCACATTGAAATACTGAATTTACCTTTTTGATCCCGGTTGAATCTGTGCACAGAATCCCATATCGGTCAGCTTGACTTCTCCGTTCATTCCGAGTAATACGTTGTCACTTTTGATGTCTCTGTGTACTATGGAATGTCTGGAAATAGGCAACCATAATAACCATTTCTGGACATCGAAGATCATTTCCTCTTCGTCACTTTTTTTGAAAGGCTAATGGCTAGGACGAACACTGGGTGGTAATGTGTTAATCTGATTATCAGGATATAAGAAAAGCTTGTACTTTGCATGGGTGACCTAACAATCATTCGTCACTCTTCAAACTAATAAACCACAATGAATAACAAAACACAAACCTGTGGAGGAAGTGAAGCGCTTTGAGGCATTCTTGAAGCACAGCTGCAATTTGTCCTTCATCCAGCTCTGTCTTCACGACGACGTCCGTGAGATTTCCTCCCTCTAAATAGTCCATCACGACCCACAAATCGTCGGCATCCACCAGATACGACTCGATGTAGTTGACCAAATTCGGGTGTCGATATTGCTTCATCACCTTGATTTCGGTTAGAAGCATCTCCTTCTTTGGTTGTGTCTTGAACGCCATCCGTTTCACCGCGACAACGTCCGAACTTCCCGCGACATGAGCGACGAAGACAGTTCCAGATGCACCAACTCCGATTTGCTTCTTCATTTCGTACTTTCCAAGTGGATTACATGGATTCACAATCTCGCGAAGTTGATCCAACACTTCTGTATCGGATAACTTCTCTCGGTGTGAAGCTCTCACTCGAACTGGTGGTTCTTCTGAAACAGCTGGTTCAGCAGCAGCTTTGTTGGTTGTGTTGCCATTCTTGTCTCCAACCGATTTGTCGTTGGAGTTCTCCTTCTGAAATAATATAATGAGAATTGTGTTTCAGAACTTTTGAAAGTGGAATGGGGTATAACAGAGTGAACACATTTTCATGTTTCAGGCTAATTTTTGTAGTGCTGTCATGCAAGATCGTTCAAGAAGAGAAATATGCAAAAATAGAATAGGGAAAGTATAGAAAGAAGGTGAAGCCACTTACATTCGACAGCTGCACATCCCCATCAGAAGATGTTGTAGATACGACACTACCATTGGAAAGTGAATTGCCGACAGATCGAGCAGACGAGTGGTGAAGTGGTGATGAGCATCCAGACGACACCGTCGACGATGTGATTTTCAGATGCTGAAGACAAACGAACATGCGGATTTTTAATTGAGAAATTGAAATTTTAGACAGACAAAACACTCATTGGCATGCTCGTACTATTGTAGATGTTTGACAAACAGAACAGCTACAGTAGTCATCAAGATGCCGTTAATGTTAATTTCAAAATATTCCAACCAGCAGTTCATTTCCAATGTGATTGAAATACGCTCCCCATGGCGACAGCACACCAATCGTCGGCTGCTTTGGCCTGGTGTCATTCCACCAGTCGTACATCATCGGACTGTTTTGAAACATTTCTTCAAAATTTGTGGTCTCCAGTTAGGAGGAAACAAGGGGACAGGTGTATCCAGAATGAGCGATTTGGGTAGAAGATAGACTACTGTAAACTCAAACGACATGACACCAAATTATATACGCACGGATGGGTAAGTTACTATTACACGAAGGAGAAGAAGAAAAAGAGGAAGAAGAGAGCAAAAATGAAACAAAATCAAGGGTGTGGTTATTACGGAAACCACTACCCGAAAGAGGGAGAGAGAAGGGCGCAACACGATGAAAATCTAAGAAAAGGACAGAAGAGAAGAACTTGATATAACACTGTAGAAACAGATGATCTGCTGACGGTACTAGAAGAAGTGATGATGAACGAATGAGGCGCGGGAAAAGACTGAATGGGATAAAAGTTGGATGACAGTCGTGATGCAGCTTCCTGACCTTTCTTTTTCTATTATTTTTACGACAGACATTCTTCGGTTTTTATGATTCGATCGAAGGTGGTCGCGCGTGTGGGTATGAGTACCATGGGGGGCCTATCAGAACAAAAATACGGAACGACTGAGACATGGGAAATTCGAGAAAAACATCTACCGTCTTCTATTTATTCTTCGGCTTCCGCCGTGCCATGAGTAGTATCGGAAAGCCGACAAAACACCGACTTTTTGTGTTCAGCAGCCTCATGAGACAACCAATTAGCCGATTATAAGTGCCCCAGATAATTACACTACCGGACGAGGGGATTCATATCTCAGATTCCGAAGCATCATCCGTTCGGAACGAAACTGACTACTGGGGGAAATAGAACGAACAGGGAACAAGCGACGAGTTTGGGAGGTGAACAAGAAAATGGTCGGGCCAAAAGTCTCTACACCAAATGAGGCGTCAAACTTATGCAAAATAAATACTTCTGGTCAGCCAACTGTAAGCAATGGAAGGTCGCGTCGCTTTTACGGAAACTTGAATCGAAGAGTTATCAGGGTCAGCAAAATATTATGGGTTTCCTACAAAATGGTTCGCAATTATGGGTAACGGCGCCTATTCCGAAAATGGGAAATTGAAAGAAGAAGGAAATCAATGAGCATGTTCAATATGAGAGAAAACTAGATGGGATGTGTGAGAAGGTGCGAACACAAAAGGGTGCAGTCGGAAATGAAAGGTGTTCAAGACGGTAAGGATTAAGCTTCTCTACTTCTTGCTTTCATGCCGCCAAAGAGACCTCTGACCGGTCTTGCAATGTTGCCTTGGCGCGCCAGGGGGTCGACCGCCTTCGAATGGCAATCATATCACCCGAAGGGGCAGGCCCCTTCTTTCCTCAATGCGGAGAGAAAGCGAGGGAATGTATTCACTTTCGACAGTGAAGACACAACAACGACGTCGACTATGAAGCTTCTGTCTCTGATTCTGAATACACCGCTACGATACACGCACTTGCATACATGCAAATAGAAGAAGACATAGACAACCACATAACACTATCAACTGACTTGTTTCTTTTTATGTGAGTGATGGCTAAACATTGCCGGCAACAGAAGCTTCTCTCTGATTCTGACGTGCCCCATCCATCTAAATCGCGCCATAATTCACCGCAGACTGACTGGTATTAGTGAAAGACACCGTTCGTCTCTGATGGTAGTTGCACGTTAACTATTTTGAAGGTGACATTTGATGGCATTATACGGGATAGAGAAAGGATGAGGAGGCAATATCATTGGCATCAGAAGCCGCCGTCAAATTTGAGATTGACGAACGAGAGGATGATTACAAAATGGGAAAAGGGATTCTTCGAAGAACGTTAGAAGGTCGGATTTGAAATGGATGAGATCTATTTCAACGAGATGCAGGAGGTCCTCCAGGTGACAGAAAACGACAGTTAAGAAAGATAGATATTTCAAATTGGCCTTGAGATTTCGAAAAGTTGGCCTACTAATTCGTGTTCAACTATGAGAAAGCGGTAAATGAGAGAATGAAAGTGAGCGAAGGACTTTGATCAGACAATTCGGGAGAAAGAGAACCGGAAACCTATGTGCAATAAACTAGGTTATTCAAGAAAGAAGCCTATTGCCAAATATTCATAAGTTGAAGATCAAAATACGAATCAACGAACACCCAATGTAACAAAAGGGAAATCGTCTTCAAAAATGACATATGCTAAAAAAAGGAGAAAACCTATTTGCATCGAAAAACACGTAGAAGCTTCCTCTCCTGCTGCGCTGCCATTTTTAAACCAGTCACTCGCCTCGAAATCGTCTCGTCTCCCTCCCTCTCACATCATCAACCTCATCAACCTCGAATACTTTTATACGACTGATAAAAAACAGAAAAACTACCGCCATTGATTAATTGGCTTGTCGTCGCTCTAAAACTTTGCCGCTTAAAAATCTCGTTTATACTGTAAACCGATATCTTCGTTTTTTTTTTTCGATGACATGGCTTTTTCTACTTCTTCGTCACTCAATTCGCGCACTATTATCTCGACGATTGGAAATAGAACAACGAGGAAGGTGAAAAGCGATTTGGTGGATTTTTTGATGGTGTTACACACTAAAACGTTTGCAGCCAGAAAACGATACACCAAACACAAAGAAAAGGAATCATGTTGCGCGAAAGAAAGATGGGAAGCTAAAAGAAACACTGCAATTCCAGAGGCCATATCACTATCACCTTATCAACAGTGGAAATGAACTGCTTTTGTTGTCTATTTGTTTAAACTCAACTCACTCAGAAAACAAAACATGCGATTTCTATGAATTCTTTAAAAAAAAACGTACCGATGGTTTCGGAGGCACTGGGGGTCCTTTTGATCCCGGCACTGGAGCACCATTTGCGTTGGAATGCGTCGTGATAGGTGTGGATGTCTTACTTCGTTGAGGAAGAACCGGAGGCTGTGTTGGGAACGGTGATCTTGGATGCAGTTTCGGTGCTTCTCCAGTGAACGACTTTAACTGTGGTGCACTTTCAGATGTGGGAACTGGAGCCGGTGACGGCACGTTATTCCGTTCTGATAGTGACAGAGAAGCGTCTGTGGATGATGATGAGAAAGTGCTGTTTCCGTTCGTCAGAGGACGTGCAGATGAGGAAGACGTGGACGGAGTAGATGAGGAACCTGTGATGATTAAAATTAAACGGATTTCTTCCAAAGCCTAGTTTTTAAGACAGATGAATCAATGTTCAAGTTTTCAACTGACATCTAAATTTAAAATCAACAATGACTCACCATTCGTACATTGCAAATTCCTGAGGTGTTCTGTAACTTGTCCGGTCAGCTGCACATCCACATCGTCGTCATCACTGTTTGTAAAAACACTATTCGTTGTCATAAACTTTGTCTTCTCGTTCTCTTTCATCGATTGTGCATAGAACTTCAACGCCGTCACTACTGCGTTCGGATTTGACTTTTGATCGGCAAGACTGAAATAACTTTTCGCAATTTAGGACAAGAACTCAATTTCAAAGAATATACCTAATATCTCGGAGAAGAATATCCATCCATGGCTGAGGGAGTCCGCTGAATTTCTGACCATCGTAACCGACGTGCACTCTGTAAAAACAACAAGATGATTTTAGCTTAAAACTAATAAATATTTTACCGATGGACTGTGTTATATGGCTGACTAATATCCATTGCAGATGACGATGGCTTCATCTCATCGTTATCTTTGTCTTTTTCACTCGGCGAGAATATTCTTCCGATGAAATTGCGTATTCGTACCTGAAAATAGTAATATTTGCACCGAGATTCAAACAAAATACCTACTTTGGAGCTTCTTGCTGTTGACATGGTTAATAGAAGATGTGAGCGACGGTTATCAGAACCCGATGTTAAAGGCAATCTGAAAAAAAAAACAAAACATTTTTCACTATTATTAATCGAGGTTTTGTGGCAAAAAGAAAGAAAAAATACGGAGAGGTCTCTGACGGGTCATGAGTAGGAAGAAAATGATAGCGAGAGATCACTAAGTGCCCGCAGACGCAGGAACAATGACAAAGACGAAAAATCGGTGAGTCATAGTCTTCCTGGCGGGTTGCGAGAATGAGAGAGCTCCCGCACAACAAACACCTCCTTGATTGAATCATACTCATACAAGAATGTGAAACGAGAATAGAGAACGTAAGGAGAAGGGTTCCCGTTACGAACCTGCCTTTATGAGAACTAAACAGAGCTTTTTAGCTGCTGGACAATTTGAAATTTTTGAGGGGGTGTGTAATTTTTTTCTGATTCATGAATCGATGGAGGTCAAATAACGGTGTGTATTAGGGATGATTCCTTAGAAGAAGTCTTCTGAATCTCATAAATTCAGTTACTCATCGCATTATGCAGGTATATAAACATCGGATCTGTGGAAAAGAAACGCCGGCGTCCGTGGCTGATGGTGCCCAAGGTACCATACTTGTAAAATTCCGGGCCGGCCCGCCAAAGCCCGGGCCGGGCCTGAGGAAAATTTCAAGGCCCGGGCCCGGCCCGGAAGGCCCGGTAGCAAAAATTTTGTCATTTTGAACCGAATTTTGAGCTCTCAATACAATTTTCTATATTTTTTTTGTGCTTTCTGGATTGTTTGTCTGTTTGATCAAAAAATATCAAAAAAAAACTCGAAAACAATTTTTTGATCGAAAAAAATCACATAAGGGTCCCCCTTTATGTGTTTTTTGAAATTTCCAAAACTTGTGGAATGACAGGCCCGCCGGGCCTCCAAAATTCAGGAAAAAGCCCGGCCCGGCCCGTTACAAGTATGCAAGGTACAACTACCGTAACCTAAAAATATTTTTATGGGGAAATCAAGGAATGCTCAATGAATTATTCAAATTATTGACCTAAAT